GTGTGTGTGTGTGTGTGTGTGTGTGTGTGTGTGTGTGTGTGTGTGTTAATTTATGTATTGTATAAAATCCTCCGCGACAACAGGTTCTAATGTTCGTATTTACCCACTATATCGCTCCACTACATCCCTATAATCTCAGTAATCCCTTATCCTTAATTGAGTGAGAGACCCCCCCCCTCCCCTTTCACTTTCATGGTTAGGGCACCATTCAGTAGCTTGAGAACCTTGTTCCATTTTTGTTTTTTTCTTATCGTTTCCAAAGCGGACGGAAATGTCACATTATTATCACCCCTTACAGGTGGCGCGCTCCTTTCGATTTTCACAACTGCAAATGTGTTTGTTTCTACTTAAGAATTTTTTTTGAAAATACGCACATGTAATTTGATTTCAACAATAGCCACCAATTACGTGTTGCGCTGTTTCATACATTGCATTGTAGCTGCATGGCTTATACGAAGTGTTGTATTAGAAAACATTAATTGTTTTTACTGTTCTCACTAAATGTGCAGCGAATGGAGAGACAAAAGATTTCGAAATAGAGCGTAAAGACATCCATCATCTCTTTTGCACTTACTGCCCCGAAAGTGTCCTCTCTCGTTTAAGAAGCCTGGATTTAGCTCTCAGATGCCTAGATTTGGCTCTCAGAAGCCTAGATTTGACTGTCACAAGCCTAGATTTGGTTCTTACAGGCCCAGTTTTGGCTCGCAGAAGCCTAGATTTGGCTTTCATAAGTCTTAGAATTTTGCTCGCACAAGCCTAGTTTTGGCTGTCATAAGTCTGGTTTTAGGCTCTCACGAGATTAGATTTGTTTCTCAGCCTCAAAAGTCTAGATGTGGCTGTCACATGCCTAAATATGGCTCTCACAGGCTTAGATTTGGCTCTTGGAAGCCTAAATTTGACTCTCAAAAGCCCAAATTTGGCTCTCAGAAGTCTTGATTAGGGACTCAGAATCCCAATTAGCCACACAAAAGAACAAGTATCACAGAAGACAACATGTACACCAACACAGCACGAGCTCTTTTGTTTGCTATAAGAGAGCAGTTCTTTACGAGTTATTACTTGTATTTTGTTATATCTTGTCTTATTGTTGGTCATAAAGCGTGCAAGTCCCTGTATCATGTCCCATAATACATTTACCAGAGTTTTGGTATTCTATATTTCTTTATTATCATTTTTGAAATTGTATCTGGTTTTGGTTATGTTATCTTTCTTTCGCATCTGTGCACATGTCTTTTTCCTTCTTGAATATGAACATAAAATGTTCGTACTCTCTGGCTTAAATGGTGACGGAGAATCGTTTCTTTTGCTAGCTTATCCAAGTTTTTTTTTTCTTCATTATCAACATTCTGCTAAAAACAAATGGACCATTCTAAAGAGTTCTGTTAAGTTGTTGTTCAAAGTCTACTTTGATTTTTTTTCCACAACTTGTTTTGCTTAAGACTTGTGATAGCATTATAATTGAGCAAAGAGTTATTGGCAAAGGAAACAGATAGGGTTTTTTCACACGTAGCGTTTTCGTTAACTGCAAGTAAAGAATATTATTTCGAATTAGAAATTATCGTCTTTCTATTCTGTTCTCTCTCTCT